CACTCCTGGCCGGGCGCCAGGATTGCTTTCTGAGAACCACTGTATGTGGCAGAAATTTTGAGTGTGTCACTTCTGAGATTAGGTTCAATACAGCTTGACTGTAACCTCACAAGAGACCCTAATCCATTGCCGCATAGCTGAGATGCTTCTGGATTCCTAATGCTCAGAATTTGTGTGAGATATTGAATGTTTGTTGTTACAGGCTGCCAAGTTTTGGAGTAATTTGTCATGCAGCAATTGATAACTAATAGAGTGATCCATTACTATAATACAATTTTAATGTCTGCTTGTTTGGGCCACTCCTAAACTGACCTTTTCATGAAAATTAGAATGCAGGAACTTTATTGGATAATGCTACCAGGATTTCTACTTGTGGAGAGAAAAACAAAGAAACAGAGTTGAACAAAGGAAAAATGTGTCCTGTGGTGCAATCATAGGGAAGCATGAGATGAATCAGTAGGGCACTCTGAAACTGGAGCTATCAGCAGTTTGAGCAGGGGTCAGGCCTTTGTGCACCTGCTTTCAGGCGGTAGGCTGCATTGGGAAGGGCGTGTGAATCTTGGCTAAAAGAGGTCTTCCGCTCAGCAGAATACCAGAGGCTAACTGCTGAAAGCTATCAACCACCAAACTTCCTGAGAGACAGCATGTACAGCGAATGCAACATTTAACACAGGCACAATATCTCCTCAAAGACGGATACCATAATAATCACATAAAGCAAAAATTAATATGATTCAGTGCAACTTTTCTGAGCTGGAAGACTTGAAGCTACATTTTTAAAGGGCAAAAAATAGGAACGGTGACCCAGAATATTAAAAACTATGACAGAAGCTAATAAATTCTTAAATTATCTTTAATTTTTTAATTACCTTTCTTAATTACCTCTATGTAAATAAATTTGAAAATTTTATTAAAAGTTTAGTAGGAACATATAGTTTTAAAAAAACCTGACTAGATAAAATAGAACACCCAAGCTGAATAACTTCAAAGAAAGGTTTCAGGAGAATTCCTTTACTTCAACCAAAGCAGAATATGTGAAGAATGTTATAGGGAAATTTTACCAACATTTAAGGAACAGATAATTCTAATGATTTTAAAGCTTTCCCAGAGTATCAGAAACAAAGGAAAATTTCTAATTATCTTCCTTACATGGGTATAAAATCAATACAAACCACATTTGTACAAAAGTTAAAATTACAGTTTACTTATAAATATTAAAACAAAAATATTAAATAAAAAAATATTAGTCTCCCAAAGCAGATTAAGAGTAATATAGTTTTAAACAAATGGGTATTATTTCAAAACTGCAAGGATAAAACAAAATTAGGAAATGTCTTGACATAGTTTATCATATTAATATATCTGAGAAGAAAAGTCATATGTTTATCAAATAAAATGTTTTTAAAAAATAAGTCATGTTGGCAAAATGGTAAACAAGATGCTCTGTTTTTAAAATTTGAATACAAATACACTTTTGATTTAATTAAACCAAAAATTAAACTAACATTTATTAGTAATTTATATATTTAGTACTATATTAGACCATTTTTTATGTAAGGTACTTAATATTTACAACAAAAATGTTCATCTTTACTTTTCCTACATCTTCAAGAGTAAAAGACATTATTCATATTCTTATAATTGGTACACCAAAAATTAGTAAGAAAAATTAAGAAGTCATATCAAATTTGGAGCTATTTCCCTTTATAAGGTATATGACCCATGTATTTATAGGAAGATACTGCAATTTGAAAGTGACCTGGTCCTTCTTTTCTATAGTGGATTTTGAGACATGTTTTTAGTCCTAGAGTGAGCATGAGCAGTGTGGTAGTGCGAGATGTGAAGGAATGCTCATGGGATATTTTTTCTTAACAAGCTCCTCTGAGAGAGCCCCATTTTAAAACCTCCTCTGTCAGCCAGATACCCATCCACAGACTAACAACTTGGAAGAATATTACAGTATTGCAGAGCTGGTAAAAGAGCCCCTAAAGGTGTTTCATGTGCAGTAACCCTTCAAATAGCATAGACTTTAGTGTTTCTTTCCTGTTGTATAATCTTTTTTATTTCACATCTCTTCCAATGATACATTATGGATAAACCTATGTCCTTTCGGCAACGAACAGTAATGGCAAAGGTTGAAGAAGAAAATACGTCACTCCCCAAAGCTATAGACAATAATATGGCCTATTGTATTTCATTCATTAGTATCCATTTCATTTGGGTGTGTGAATATATATGAAGATAAGGCATTTTATTTTCTGTAATACTTATTCACTTTCAAGGTAAGTTGATTGAAATTTTGATCAATTTATCTTGAAAATTATTTACAACTTAGAGTAAAAAATGTTAAAACAGAATTTTTCCTCTTTTATTGAAAAAGCAATAAAATGATATAGGATCCAAAGGAAAAACCTCCTAAAATCTTGATTGCTAACAGCCTACCATTCCATTGGAGTTTTATTAGTAAAATTAAAAGGAAAAAAAAACAACATGTCATATTTGTACTTAGATTTGTTTTTGGAATTTTATTCATGTAAAACAGTTTGGCTCTCTGTTGATTAGTCATTATAATTTGATGACTCAGAAAAGATCTCTATATGAATCAGTTTTTGTGGCCTTAGTTCAGTGCTTCCATTCAAAAAGGACACTTCCTCCACCCACTGTGTGATCTGGTAATAGTAGTATTACAGCTCTTACATTTCCAACTGCAGAGTGGGAGGGTTGTGAAGTCTATCAGTGCCTTCTGCTTTAAGTCTGGACCTGGTCAGAGGCAGGCAACTTATTTACGTCTATATATGTATGTATGTATGTATGTATTTTTAATCCTCTAGGATATGTTTTAGAGAGATGAAAGGAGAGATGAGAGAGAAAGAGAGAGAGAGAGAGAGAGAAAGAGAAAGGGAGAAAGAGAAAGAGAAAGAAAGATTGATGTGAGAGAGAATCATCTATCAGCTGCCTCAGGTACAATAATGACTGGGGATTGAAGCACAACCTAGGTATGTGATCTTACCAGGTATCGAACCTGCAACTTTTTTGTATATGGGATGACTCTACAACCAATTGAGCCACCTGGCCAGGGCAATAATTTATTTTTTTTACTGACTTTTCCAACCTGGAGTGCTTCACAGTAAGACAGAAAGATATAAGTAGAAGAATCTGGGGATAGAATGAAAATGTTTTTATATTACCTAAGGCAGGACAGAGTGGGGGAAATGATAGAAAAGTGTTAGGGATGATTCCAGGCTGCTCATCAGTGGCTTTTGTTTTATTTCATTTCTGTCTCCTCCACTCTCTTCCTTTCTTTCCACCATTATTCATTGAGTGTCTACTTTGAGTTAGGGGATGGCTAGGCAAATAAAATAATTTGCTTTAATTGAGAAGACTCCATGTTTGAGATAGTATATCATTGTATTCATAGCTGCTCAATTTTTTTCATTCCTTTTCTTTATACCCAGATATCATTATTTTATTTCATGATGTCTGTAATCCCAAATATTTTCTGATATTAATCTCCTAAAAAAAGAGACTAACTCCCTCAGCTCTCAAAGATGTTCTTTAAAATCCATCCATCCTGAGCAGTTCCTATACTTATTATTGATGCCGATACTGAAAAAAAAGTAGAATTCATGTAGGCAAAGATATATTTCTTTTAACAAATACACTTTTATCTTCCACTAAAAAGGAGAAAACCAACACATCATATATTTAGAATAAGTGAATTGTTCTTGTGATTAAGACACTTATGCTGTTTTGATTACTCTGGCCTTGTCGGAATTTATCCAAAGAAACCCGAAACACTAATTTGAAAGAATATGTGCACCCCTATGTTCATTGCAGCATTATTTACAATAGCCACAATTTTGAAGCAGGCCAGGTGTCCATCAGTGGATAAGTGGATAAAAAATCTGTGGTACCTTTACACCTTGGAATACTACTTGAGCGTAAAAAAAGAAGGAAATCTTACCCTTTGCGACAACATGGATGGAGCTGGAGAGTATTACGCTGAGTGAGATAAGCCAGGCAGAGAAAGACAAGTACCATATGATCTCACTTACATGTGGAATTAATGAACTAACAAGCAAAACAGAGAGACTCATACATAACAGGCTGACAGCTGTCATGCTGGGGTGGGGTTTGGCTGGGGGTGGCGGTGGTAGAGGGATTGAGCCAAAAACCCCAGAAAACTCATGGACACAGATCACAGTGTAGTGACTGGGGGAGGGGTGCTGCAGGAGCGTTTGGGGGAATAAACGGTGATGGAAGGAGACCTGACTTGGGGTGGTGAGCACACTATACAGTGTACACATGATGTGTTGTGGAATTGTGCACCTGAAACCTGTATAGTTTTGTTAACCACCGTCACCCCAATAAATTCAATAAAAAGGAAAAAAAAAACAGCACTCATTTTTTTAAATTATATTTCTATAACATCTATAAAACCTGGGACAGAAAGGAAATAGCAGTTCCTATACTGGAGGAAATATATAGGGGAAAGTCAAGGATAAGACCCGAGAAGGAAAGTGGTGTGTTTATATTTACTTTTTTTTCTTCTTTTTTTCAGAAATACAACATAGAGTTCCCACTGAGCTTTTGAAGTAGTTCGTAGCATTAAAGGGAACTGTAATCATTCACGTTGCACCCTTTGGAGAGGTCATTTCTCTCTGTGACTGCACAATAAATGAAGGCGCATATTCTGGACATCTGTGGCCAGCTTGATTTTTTTTTTTTCCTTTTTGCTCACCTAAAAGGTTTCTAGACAGCATTAGCTATTGTGGATAAAAATGGAATTCTTTACTCCTATAATATAGAGATATTTTCTCTTGTGACTCTGACCTCTCAGATCTTTCATTTATTGTTCGAAGCCACGGCCATAGATTTAGTCCTAAGAAGACCTCCCTTTCCTGGGATTAGTAACTATGGGAAGGATGACAGTGTTGCTGTGACTTGATGCCACCAGGCCACTATCTTCTCTGTACACTTTTGTGCATTTTTCTTTTTAGAGTTCAGCTTTGAAGACTCCTGAAAAATCTGGCAAGCTTTCCCATCGCCTGCTTCAACCAATAAGCATCGCTACCTCAAGGAAGTAAGTTGTGCATATAAAGGTAAATTTCCTTATATTTCATTGCCAAATACATAAAGGAAATTTTCTTGATTGAGTTAAAACACCTGTGCTTTCTGTGTATTTCAGTATGAGATTTCTTGCTCTCTTAATATGTGATTCTGCTGATAGGAAGACAACTTTAAATCTAGAATACTCACTCTTAGTGTCTTTTGCTTTGCTTACATGGCTCTTTGGAATATCATTTTCACCATTTCCTAAGCCACAGAAACAGAAAGCTTCAGATATTCATTCAGTACAGGGTGATAATAGTGTTTGTTTCATATGAAAACAAGTTGATAACCAGATGATGATACTTTATGTGAAAGTTATGATGAGCTATAACACTTAATGCAACATTTTATTAACCTTATCAGATATGCTCAAACTTTCAATTTTCTCTGTTGAGGGTAGTTCCTCTAGATAGAGCTCAATTAAATTTGATTAGCAATAGTTGGTTTTTAGGCTGAAATTTGTTCCTCTTTTTCTTCAAAAATTGGAGAAGCCTCTATTTACAGCTTTATTCCACTTTTTTAAAGTTGATCCGATTTACACATAAATATATCCACTAAAATTCTAATGAAGCTTTCAAAAGCAGCTACTACAATAATAACTGCAGAAGCATGCATGAATTATGCCAACCCTAATCAATCTTGGGTGTTTTTCCACACTGTTACAAAATACATTGCATAGAAGGCTAGAGCAAGCTCACAGCAGGCAAAATATGATAGCTGAAGTCAAGCAGAGCTAATTTGTTGTTTAGGACACGTGTGAGGTGCAGAATTCACTGATCCATCGTGATCAGCTCTGATAGGGAGGACCGGTTCCCAGCGTGCTTTGTTTCTGTGGGTTTTCTGTTGATGATACAGGCTCCCTGGATCCTAAGAAGCATCTCTCTCCTCCTTTGGTTTGGTCACCTTTCCACTCGTCGATCTCAGCTTTCTTTACAAGGTTCGCCCAGGACGTGGAAGTCCTCACCGACGGGCGCACTGGGAGAGTCGTTAGTGCAGCAGTGGGCCCGCGAGCTCCCCTCACTTTGGCCCAGGGCAGAGTCCTCTTTTCACCACCACTGCCCCGCCCCCCAGCCTTTTGGGGACTGACTGGCTTTTTCCACTAGTGTAACTTCCTAGGGACTTACCCAAGTTGCTACATGTTTCAATGGTTGATTCCTTTTTGTTGCTGATTAGCAGCATTCCATGGCATGGATGTGCCACAGTCTAGGTAGCCATTCATTTACTGAAGGACACAGGGCTGTTCCCAGCCTTTGCATTTGCTGGAAGTCTTCCCCTGCTTTTCAAGGCTTCAGTTCCTGATCACAGCGGGCCATGGTGGTATTTTACTCTGCTCCGGGAAGCTTGCCCTGACACCTGCACATGGAGTTCATTCCTGCTCCTTGGTGCTTCGTCATTCCCGGCACCCGCCTCTGTGGAGAACTGTTATGAGTTCATGGGAGCCGGACTGACCCTGTGTGTGCGAGGGGGGTGTCTTATGTGCTCCTCCCAGTTTTTTGTTTTTAATGATAACTAAACCTGGGGATAGATGCCATGGTAGATAAGAAAAGAATAAATAGAGATAAAACAAATTCCCTGAAGGCTCAAAAGATTAGAATCATTATGAATCTAATATTCCTGCCCCTACTGGCAGAGGGGAAATAAGACAACAACAGGAATAACTATGATGACATCAGTGACAAAACCCCACAAGGTGGCATTGTCATGTAGTCATTGAAAGACACACCTGAGAAAACAGATAGACATGTTACGTCCAAAACCTGGTAAAAGTCCTTCTCAGTTTCTTCACCATAGTACTTCTACTTCACATTTGACACTTAGAATTATCCAGTCACTTATAATTATTTGAAGCAGTTTGTCCTTTGGCTTCCCCACCAAAGGTCAGACTTCATGAGAACATGAACTGTATTTGCTTACACAGCATCCCATCCCTGTGCAGCTGGAGGATATCCAGTAAATATCTGCTGACTAAACCTCTGTCTGACTGATTGAGTTACTTGGGAGATAAAAGAGATATGTATAGGAAAGTCCTTTGTAAACAATAAATGAATATAATTTGAAAATTTTATTTGCATTGTATATATATGAATGGGGACAAAAGAAGAAATTGAACTAATGCTAATGCTTTAAGAAAATGTTATGAAAAATATATGCAAAACCCTAGTTTAAGCAAATATATATTTCAAGATTTAGAAGTATATTATGATTTCAAGTTTAACAGCACTTTTCTCCTTAAGAGAACAAGTTCAAAACGCATATTGCTAAGGGATGTTATTTAAATTATCCACATGTTTTTCCCTCATCCCTTGATATATTTTATTTGGCTGCTTTTTTTTTCTTTTTTACTTAGTCATGACACACTTAGCTAAAGTGAACAAAAAAAACACCTCTTACTGCATAGCTGGTGAGACCAGGATTACTTTTAATGGATGGCTCCTTTTGAAATGGGAAATAGAGAAACACAAAGCAAAATCAAAAAAGATACAATTTAGGGCAAATTTAGAATTGGCTTATCTCTCTGATTCAGATGCCTAAATACACATACCTAATGTGTGTACTCATCAGAGAAGTAAAACAAGCTGATTGTCTCACAGTATATCTTATGTCTACATTGGTCCAGAAGTATTAACAGTATAGGTTTTTTCATGGTGAAACCCTTTTTATTTGGCCGAATATCATGGGCTGTTTGCTTATTTTATCAAAACTGTAATCAAAACACCTGGGGACATATTATGAGATGGACATTTTGAAATCTATTTTTTCTTTTTATCTCAGTTTTCAAAGATATTAAAATATTTTTATACTGATAACATTTATTGCAATATTTCTCCTTTTTCTTAAGACCAAACCAGGAGATATTTAAACATCAAATAGAATAGAGACTCACCCTTGTATGGGAAACTTAGTGAAATCTTACATATTTGGGTTGCCAACCAAACCAGCTTTGATATTTGCCCTCCAGAGCAAGGAGACCTACTTCAAAGCCTGTTTCTAGGCTTATATTTCATGGTGTTCATTCTTGCCAGTGAGCTGTACCGAAAGCCAGCTGGCAGAACGAGCCCTAGAATATGGCCCTTATCCTCAGAGGAAAACAGAAAGGGGAGAGGGGTGTTGGGTTGTGCAAGGCAGCTCGTATGTAGACGTAAACTACACTCTGATTGGGAGATTAATGTAGAATGAAAAAAAGAGCATCATTTTCTCATCTAGTTGCTAAGGGCAACCACAGTCATTTTTCTATACTGAGCTTTAATTTACGGAGTTATTCTTTGAAGAAATAACATGTATTAACTAATTAGTCTTCCTAATTTTTATGCATGTAACAAGATGGGTGAATCACAAAAACATCATGTGGTGGGGAAAAACAAGATAAAAAAATCACAATGAGATTAAATGGATATTTTTTTAAGTTCGAATAGTTAAAAAACTAAATTTAATACTTAGCAATGGATACCTAAGTTGTAAAACTACAAGGAAAGCTGTTACTAAAGACATTGTTACCTAGAGTTGGGAGGAAGGGACTGGATCAGAAAGGGCTCCAAGGATGCTGTCAGTCTTTGATTTATTGACCTGCATGTTGGTTACATGGACATTTGTTACTTAATAACTAATTAAAATATACACTTATGCTTTATGCATTTTTCTTTGTTTGTGACTTTATATTAGGAAATTTAGTAATCATATCAATTTAGAATTGTCACTTAAACTAATGATTTTAAAAATTCAGTTTTAAAATGAAAAGTCAGTAAATGAAGCCCATTTAACTTAGATAATAACTAGCTATATAGAGGCACCGCTATGGCTTCACTTATACAGAGCTATAGGGTTTGGGGGCTAGAAGAGGGAGTATACTCAGCTAGATGCTTAAGGGTGCATGACTCCTATGTTTCAAGTGTCTATTTGAAACCATTAACTAATTTTTAAAATTTTTTTTTTGAGTTTGTTTTTTCCAGTTTTATTGGGATATAATTAACATACAATATTGTAGAAGTTTATGGTGTACAACATATAATGGGTGGACTTATGTAAATCCATTGATTTAGTTGCTTACTGAGAAGCTGGCTAGATAAGACTTGAACCTTTGAAGCAGTGGTTAGATTTAGAATTTTACAGATAATTAGAATGTACTGAGGAATAATAGTGACACAGAGAGAGAGAGGTTCTTTCTAAAATCAGTTTATCCTCACATTTTGGCCTTGTGACCTGAGACTCAATCTGCCAGCTTACATTTAGAAGTACAGTATTGATATTCTAGTGGCTGTGCTTCATTCAACTATTGCCTGTGTCTAACATGCATGCACATAAACACATATATATAATTAGGTTATATATCATTTTTATTTATCGGAAACCCACTGGAAAAGGAAAGACCAGCAATCTTGATGCTAGTAAAACCTGTGAGTGGCTAAAACTTAATTGATTTCCAATGTGGAGGATCCTGATTTGTATAATTTAGAGCTATAATTATTCATGGTTTGCAGGTACCACCTCATGTGTAAAAGTTTTACAGAGAATAAACAGTGCTTCACCTATACATCCCCAAAGCATAACTGGTGTTACCCAATGACAGTCAGAGCAAGCGAGCCAAAATAAGCAGGTGATTTTTTTCCAAGGCTAAACTAGGGTTTGTCACCACTCAGGAATATTGCTAAACAAAATTTTAAATGAATCAAAAATAACAATTTACATCTTTTTAGTTCCCTTCTGCTCCACTATTATATACATCCATTAAAGATCCCAATTCTTTGTTATGCTCAGTTACTTATGGTTCCCTTCAAAATATTCCCAATAATTTGCTTGTCTCAATGCTTCCCTGTCTCATACTTGACCTAAGTTTCTTGCTGTTGGACCTACCATTTGCCCCATGCTTGTCCAACTTATCTCACTTCTTATCCCACATATCTCAGAAAAATTCAGACATGAGGAAAGGATTACAAAATGCGTTCCACAGAATATTAATATCCCTTGATATATTAATAGATATTCTCCAAAATGA